TGTTGCGTTATATTTATAAGCGAAATATCTCGATCATTATTTCCGAATGCTACGGAAACGAACTTAAATACTACTTTCGACCTTTGAAAAAAAACTGAGTTTAAGATGTAATTAGCACATTGTTAAACTGGTGGGCTCAGTAACAGCTGAACGGATTGGAATCCGAATGGTATGGGAAGTTGATTGTATGACATATGTTTACATCTTAGAAAGGATAGTAAATCCAGTTTTATAATACTGTATGTGCATGGTTATATAATAAGTCAATGAATTATTATTGCTAAAAAACAAATCAGTCTCATCTCTACAAATCCGACTGTTTAACTGTAAATCAATCATGTAAAAAGTGGTGTATCTCTAACCTAATCTCGATTTATTTTGCAATTAAAATAAATTTTTTCACCAGTCTTCGTTTTTGGATTTCACAAACACTTTCTGTGTTCAAATTACCGTGTAGAACTAGCTGGCGGTCATTATGAGCGGCTAGGAAACCAGCTCTAGAGTTCATTCAGCGGACTTATCATAAACAAATTGTTGTTATCATGTATTCCCCTCAAAATTATCGTTTCCACAACTCTATGTTGGAGATACATATGTAAAAGCATTCCCAAAGTCACCAAAAAATAAGACTGTCAACAAAGATTAATCAAAACAGTTAGAACCGAATGTCTGTATCAAACTGTTCAAGTATCACTGAGCAAAATGCTCCTACTATTAATCTGTTAATAATAGTAGAAATATAATATATATAACAGTAGAAATATACTGTATTATCCCCACATTTCTAAAACCAGGGTGTAGCATTAAATAAGTGAAAAAGTTTATGCTAAGTTAAGGAATCTAACACAACGATCCTCCGAACCACCTGAATTATTCCTTTCCACACGCTCTAAGGATACAGAATCTCCGATCTACGATGGCCTATAAGACCATCTTCAGTCGGCAGGTCTTTATTTCGGATAATTAGAGATAGACATACTGAAACCACTCCTGATTACGCAAAGTAGTTTCTGACTGGCAAACCGTTGCAAACTTAACTAATTATTGGATGAAGTTAACGTATGGTGAAAAAGCTCTACTTTATTTGGTTCCTTACGATATAAAATTATACGTTTACTGTTGTAGAAATGTGACTGAAACCAGTTTGACATCGGTAAATTATCAGCGCATTTTAACCGATTCGATAATAAAACTTATCGACTAAGTTTTTGTGGAATTTGTACCAAATAATGATTCCTCTGCATATTATTACGTTCCTGGTTTGAATTCCAAATAAGATACGTTTGTCTGGAGTTCTTCCTGAATCCATCACTGGTCTATACATAACAACCAGAGTACGAAATAGACATTTCCAGGTACCGCTAGCTAGCATACGGTATACGCTTATTCCTGATAATCACTTTCCTGTTTAACCCTACTAGGATTTCGGAAACAATGTTTCCTTCTTTACTAGACGGGAATGGAATACTCTAGATTGTATCTGGAAACAAACCAAAAAATCATTCTGAAGTCCTTAAGGTTCAGAATCCACAAGAATAATCTCAAACCGCTACCCTTTGAGATAAAAACAACTCAAAAGCAACTTTATAGGTGCTTCCAACACTGAATAATATTGGGGTGTGTCGTCTAACAGTGATCATGTTTAATAACTCACGTGCTTTAGTTGTTGAGTTATCTAACCCCAGTCACTCTCTCCTCTCTCCATCATGACACCAAAATACAATCCCCTTCAAATCACTGTCGCCTACCTTATTCATATTTAAATCGTCCTATATTAGGGTGTTACAGTAAAATGATATCACTATACTTTATTGTTACAGCCCCTAATATAAATGCAAGGAGCAATTCTATTAGTTCATGTTTATTTTTATACTTATTAAACCTCCTATTCATTTTAAGCTAATGACGCCATTTCTCCTCACTTCAAACCCTTGACGTTAACCATATAGCTAAGATCCTTCTAACTTGGCAGCACTGGAGTACGGTCGTTCCATGTAGCTAACAAAATCTTCATCACTGCGTATTAGGGCCCAGTCCTAAAGCCTAGATGGTTGAGGGACACAATCTTCATAGCTTAACAAACACATGACAGTTACTATATTCCACTCTAATATTCCAGAATTAGCAAATAGATTTAATGATCAAGAATGAAAGGTTCAGATTTGACAGTCCGCTTCGCAAAACCACCCTAAAAGCCCGAGATCTGACTCCTATTTGGAAGAACAATTGGATCTGCTTTGAAAAAAATCTTTCATCTAATTCCCGTATATTATTCTGAGGTGCGACCTCGGTTACTGAAAGCCCGATACTGTATATTCTGAACGGATTAATATTATATATTTGCGTAAGCAAACAGACAGCAGAATATGAAATGTGAAAGTGAAGTGAAGCAAAGAGGAGAAGGCGAGTGGATCAACTCATTGTGATGAGGTATGACTCAGTATTTCAAGTCAGATAAAAATAATCTAAACATGTGGTAAGCGAAGTAAGCAATGCACATACGCACTTAAATAATAATAACCAAAATATAAACGAGTAAAAGACAAGATCGAAAGATGTGTCAATAAAAGCTAAAGAAGGTTGGATTAATTAATTTGTTCAAAGGCTGTAGCAAGTCCTATAGGCTCGACATATAAGTACACACTATAGCCAGTTAAACTGTGTTCCTCAACGAGGAAAATTCGTACTGGGTGCAGCATGCCATATGTAATAGACTTTCTAGAAGGTCGTTTTCATAAGACTCTTAATAAAAACCTTCCAGACCGTCTACCTAGTGCTGATCGCCTTTCGGAATAATCCATCTTGAGAACTAGAATTACACTTCTTAAGTCTGCCGAATTCAGTACTATATTCAATAACAACAAAATTTCTTTGTCACCAGATTAGTAAATTTAGTATGGTAAAGTTGAATCACGACGATGTTACTACTCAATCTACGTGATCTTATTTTTATGCAAAAATTACAGATAGTTATCCCAAAATAGAGCTCACTTTCAAACCAAACCGGTATTCCGACGGAAATATTCTAAATATTGTATTATCACACATCAGGAGTGTGTGAAATCATCAGTACCTACTGTCTTTTATTAGCAATTTTGAGAAGTCAGAAACCACCACTACTCACTTTCAAATACGGCGAGGTGATTCATAACAGTGTAGGATGGAAATCATGTAATGTTTTCCCCTCCCAGTGGCTTACAAATGCGACAAAAGGAAACATCTTGCTACTAAACCTTCATAAAATGAGAACAAACAGTGATTTATAAACACATAAATTGAGTATTGTATACAAGATATCAAAGTTGGTAAAGGTTCCTTTACGGTAATAATACAGAAGTAGCATTCAATAGACTGTAGTGAACATAATCCAATAATCCCATCTCTAACCTCTCAAGAAAAGGAAGAAAGCCACTACGTCTCTCCAAATAAATTGATCCAGTAGGAGGATTATACAGCTGCCGTTGGTTATTAGCGATATTATGTAAAACCTCGCCGTACTATTTTTGATTAGCATTGGAAATTGAATGAACTAACAACAAACACTTAAAAGTTATTATGATAACAAAAATGTTGGAGGTGATTGAGCGGGAAGAGGTAACGTATTGAGATATTTCGATGTCAGTATGCAGATGGCACAGATATTCAAGCAAGACTCCAGGCTGTTCACAAGTATCAAGTCTACTTCTCTCCATGTTAGGTCACCGAGTAAATATATCTGTCTCTTAAAAGCACCGCCACGGATACACGATGCCAACAAGCTATTTTATTTTTCTGCCACATGTAACAAACTTATGAGTATTAAAAATACCCCTGAAAACCTCCTCAATCACCTAAAAGAACAGAACTTAAGTGTACAGATGCAAGTTTCTGGAAGATATAATAAACGAGGAAATAAAATTATTTGTACATTGCAAGTTCGCTATCCTTCCAAGCCCGGGTAATTTGACCGTGCGCTACAATGCCGCGGGATATTATTACTCTACAACTCGGACAATGTGGAAATCAAAGTATGTCTTATTCCATAAATATGTAACTTTTACCTCATTAACTTTAATTTATTTGTGGGCACAAGATCCACTGTTAATAAGATTAGTAACATAGGTTTATTTCGGCTTAGAGTTTTTTGTTTTACATGAGGTTTACTCATCATCTAAATATTTTTATATCGAAAGTATTCGGTATATTTCGCCTGAAATAGCTTCTGTCAACAAAAATATAATTTGAAAAGCGCTTAAAATTGTTCTATTTTAGGGCAACAATAGCTTCGCCAAAGATATTTGACATTTCGTATAAAATAGTGAGTAAACAAATGTATTATTAATTGAAATACTGGTAAAGTATCACAGTGACCTGTGTTCTCAACATCTGACGTATTCACTATCTATGTAATTCCAGTTTCTTTTTAAATCGATCACAGCTAATATTGTTCTTAATGAGATTTATCAATTAACTAGTTGGTAAGAAGGTATAGTTGCAAACGTTACGTTCACCGGAGATGATTTGGGCTATAGTTGGTGTTTTCAACCAAAAATATGGCATCCTTTGGTGAGATCACTTCGATTTCCAGGATATTGTCACTATGTGGTGGCAATATTACTTATCATTCCTAATTTCATGGTGGCATAAAACCTGAAGTATACTTTTTATATTGTCCCTTAAGCCTCTAAACTGTGACTCCACTTACTCTAAAGCATACCGACATTACTGAGTTTCTTAAATTCCAGAATCTGTCGAAAATTAACCAAAGATATTGAAAAACATTTGTGAGAATAATAGTCCCCAACCGTAAATGCTACCTTGACACGATAGTCGGGCTTGCCTATCGTGATGACCCAACCGATCTATATTAGCTAGAACATAAGTTCCTGTAGGTTCCACCATGCGAGGCAGGTTGATCGGAGAACAGTCAGAATTAAAACAGCAACTCAAGGTCTGTTGGTGAAGTCGTACTGCTGGCTGTAGAAAGGTGTGACAGCAGTAAAGTGTTTCCATCGAACAACCAGCATCTGCAGCGATGCTGCCTTCTCACACGGAAGGAAGGGGTTAAAAAAGATCGGCCCTAAAAATGTCACACCTCACCTTACCTCATGGATTTCCATCTCCGGCGGTAAGGCCTTTTAAACAAGAACGGAGCTAACACTTCAAAAACTCATAAAATGGCCGTGCGTGACCAGCCTCAAGCAGTTGTCCCTTTGGCTATGCGGTCACGCTCTCAGGTCTCTTAGACCAACGCTAACCTGTTTTCTTTTTCAGGTTCCTCAGGAAACACCTTTCAACGATGTGGGCAACCGGGAAGTGACATCCGCCCTCATACCCGTAGTAGCACACGAGACCAAATCGGCCACAAATAAATCCTTCCTACACCATCTAACATCTCTCTTATCTACACTACTATTTTTTTCGCATCCCTTTATAACCCTGCACCACTACTACAAATTATTCGAGTTTATGAAACGTTATTCCTGGTCTCCTAAAACCCCATTCTAAACTACATTTTGGAGCTGTTGATGTCCAGACCTTGTGCCTAATGGGACAACAGGCTTCCTTAGCTAGGACTTTAGAATCTCACGTCATCGATGATGCTGCGTGTCCGAAACGCGCATACAGGATCCGAGTAGAATCATTCATTTGACCTCACCATGTCAAAATGAAGCAGCAGCTTGATTTACACTTCGTGTATCTGGAATCCCTGATGCTGCTCACAATGGCCTCGCTGGTGTAGATATAGCTTTGAGTCTTAGGGTAGAAATAAACTTCTTAGAATGGATCCCGGTAGAAAGTCGCTTATGCACTTTCCGACTAAACGGGACGGGACGGGCTCTGAAAGAGAAGGGAACAGCCGTTGCATCTTCGTCGTATCTGCCTACGCTCCCACTAAGTGCAGTTCAGACGAGATAACAGATGAGTGTTACATAAACCTCTCTAAAGTTAAGCGCTCTGATATAATAATAAGCGCGGTTTGATAAAACGCCAAGGCAATGATTGCTAACAGTGGGGGGTAGCGAAAGCGAGAGTGATGAAAAGGCAGCGATGATAGGCAACAGTAGACAATTATTCAGACTTACCAACGAAACCGGTATGTAAGTGAGACTGTCTCAGAAAAAGACATTCTTATTATTCATTCTCAAGCCAGGAAATTGGATCGATGGGCAGAAAACTTTAGCGATCAGTTCAATTGGCCTTCAGCCACACATCGGTTGCCTACGAACTCGTCAACCTGAATGGCGAATTGACGCAAGTCCCCCGACTCTTTGTGCAGTTGAGAAAGCTATAGGGAATCTGACCGCTTCACTTATCTTGGGAGTCTCATCAGTGTTGATGGTCTGGTGACTGACGAAATCTCAGCACGGATATAGAAGGCTCGATTGGCTTTTGCCAACTGGCGTCACTTATGGCGTAGGCGAGATATCCGTCTGCTAAACAAAGGACGAATCTACTGCGCGGCAGTTCACTCCGTCCTACTTTATGGCTGCGAAACATGACCATTCAGAGTAGAAGATATTCATAGGTTACTGTTTTTCGATCATAGGTGTCTTCGAAACACTGCTCGCATATTCTGGGACAATCGAGTAAGCAGTGGTGTTGTTACGAAACGAGTACTAGGTAAGGATGGCAGGTCAATAGATGAAGTATTTGAACTTCATCAGTTGAGGTGGTTGGGACATGTGATGCGTATGCCTAACCACCGACTGCCTCGTCGAGCTGTTTTGCGATTTAGGAATACGTTGAAAGAAATCTAGGTTCGACTACACCAAAACATGTCACAGATCTATGAAATCACTGACAAGTGTACTGAGTCATGTTGGTAGATTTAGACTACGTTGTTGGTGTCTGCGAGACGATAGTAACTGATGGTTAGATACCCTCAATGACATGGCTCAAAATCATTTGCAATGTCGCAGATGCATCTACTATTTGTCTTCTCCCAGATCCTAACCTTCTGAATTTCCCATCACTTTTATCTTTCTATTTTTAAGTTTATTTCACTAGATTCTACTTCTTTAATAATATGATCGAACCCTAATCTCTCCAGTTACTACCAATACTTCTACTAACTCTACTAGTATGCGATTTGAAGTGACAATTGCGTCTCTGTGCTAATATGGTATGGCAATGTACGAAGTTCTACGTTGTAACTGACTGAGAATAATAGCTATGTGGTTCACCTTTATCGCTATTGGTCTCTGACATTATCGTTTAGGTTTTTGAATAAATAGTTGCCTGGTCACTCCCAAATATTTTAATAGCTTCGGAAAAAAATAACTATAACTACCCCTCCCCCCGCCGCAAAAGAAACATTTTACCACATTCACGTAAATGTCATCTCTATACTCATTTCCCTTTACTAGACAGTAACTCTTCTTTTTCCATCCCCGATCAAGTTAATAATATTACAATTAACATCATCAAAATCCTGCCATTTATCTTGGTAATTTATATTTCAATTCAGATTATTCTAAACTGTTACCTCTCCCCACCGTAAAAAAACTTGTTAAAATGACCACATCACACCAAACTCCGATAATTTCATTCATATAGGCTATTAAGTGAGACATTTTGTTGTTAGACCATGTATGTTCCTTGTATAGAAAATGTAATTTAGAATGTCACAACAGGTGCGCCCATCAAGAATTTGACACTTCAAAACCGGAACTTATCTCCGTCTCCCTAAACCGCGTTTCACGTAGTTTATTCGGGAGTTTACCATGCTAATCTGAATCAAACAGTTAGTGGCTTACTTTTATAATCAGCGCAAAAAATAATTTCACCTGTTAAGTGTGATTTGACTTTAAATCAACAGATTGATCTTTTGTTACCTGCAACTTTTAAACGGAGTTATTACCATAGAATGCCTGTCTTTAGTACTAAGTTACCCAGTCGTCTGTGAACGTCTTAGTTACACTAATATGCACTGGCTGCTTCCTAAATTATAAAAAATAATCACTTCAGTTTGAAAGTCAATTAGCCGCAGTAAATAAAGACATTTTACTCAAAATATTTGCTGTAGTAGTGACATCTGAAGTTTCTAAATGAAGTAAGTACCAGAAATTGCAATGTTATCAGTAGTGCTACTAATTTAATATATACTTAGTTTATCGACTATAGAGTTGCAAGTAAAAGATAAGGATCTAAACTAATAAATCTTACGTGTTAATCAAATGCTAAAACCTGTTTTACTAACCGTATTGTGTGTATTAAAATTAGGAAATATCCAAAATGGCCACAAGTGAGTAATAAAATTGCAGGTGTCTGCTTTTAGTATGCTCTTAGGAAGCCTATCTCTTTATAAAGATTACTATAAACAGACAGTGACTTTATTGTCTTTCACGTGATATTTATTTTGTTCCTTTTTTCTGTATCACCAAAATATTAGTTGGGATGGAGTTTTGGAAGCAGCTGTGTGCTGAACATGGAATCAGTCCTGAAGGCACTCTTGAAGAATTCGCAACAAGTGACGCTGATCGCAAAGACGTATTTTTCTACCAGGTAAGTTGAAACGATTTCCAGACAAGTAACTAGGATGCTGTTCAACTTTCCATCGCTTGCTTAGTCATTCGGACTTTTTCTAGGTTACGTAACGTTTTCGCTCACGCTGTCACTGGTTGCTATGTTCAACTATGTAGTCATAGTTTAACTTCCTCTTACACCTATATAGATTCGGCAGCTAAGTGATAAATCCAAATTTTTTACCGTAGAGGGTTTATGTACTAATATCATGCTGATATAATTATCAAAATATACTTTTCCTGTCGACTATTCACTGGTACTTTGGGTAATATATATCTTCCAACAGTATTACACCCGTATGATCTGAAACACCAATTTTACTTTTGGAAACTAACGACTAAATACTTGAGTGGTTTTTGATATTATGTGACAAGATGGTGTTTTCAAAAGCTCGATGGTATAAACGTTCCCCTGCATCATTCAATCTGCTTAAATATGAAACCGACTGGCAACTCATATCTAAGCAATAAAATACATTTGTAGCGTAATGTTCTTCACTTTTCTCTGTAAGCTTGTTGAATAAATGACTTCACTTTTTACTCAGCTACTTGCCGTTTGCCTCAATTCTGCCCTTACTATATTTCTATGAGTTGACCCCTGTATTTAAAAACATATATCTGTTTAGATATCCCTCGTTACTGAGCGAATGTATATCAGATGATTATATATATATATATATATATATATATATATATATATATATATATATATTTCTCGAAGTTCCTAGTCTATTTAGGACAGCTAGTAACTGAACCATCGTCGTTGTTGGAGAGTTACAAAACGTGCTGAAATAATGGATAACATTATTTTTTTTACTGTGACTGGTCAAATATATAACACAATATTAGAAAGGATACTATGTATTTTTACATCTTAAATTTGACTAAGTTTGATCAATTTCTTTCCTATAAAGGCAGATGACGCTCACTATATTCCTCGTGCTGTCTTGCTGGACCTGGAACCACGTGTAATCAATACAATCTTATCTTCACCTTATGCTCGACTTTACAATCCTGAAAATGTATATTTATCTAAACATGGAGGTGGTGCTGGTAATAATTGGGCAGCCGGATATACGCAAGGTGAAAAACTGGAAGAAGAAGTGTTTGATATTATTGATCGTGAAGCCGAAGGAAGTGATAGCTTAGAGGTAGGAACGTTTCATTGGAGCTCGTTAACCTTTTACTTCGGTTGCCAAGTTTTTAGACCTTTCTTCGTGTTATCAGTTATCTGCGTAATAATTATGTTAATTGTCACTCTTTATCCAATGAATTAAAATGCCAACTTTTATTGTGTCATGTAGCGTTAACTCCATGTGCTAAGTTTCTGGTAGCACTTTTCGGTAATCGTTTATTTATTACCTTGCATAACTACATGTATAGTTTATTTCCTGTTTGTTATTAGCTTCCTGTGAATGCTACCATGATACTCACACCATGTTCTTCCTTACTTTAATATTTAGTGATAATTAAAACACGTGTTCTGACAAAGGTCTCGTGCTAGCTAGATCAAGGTCTAGCACTTTTTCACAAAGTCACTGGTTTTTTGTTGAAGTTTCGCATATTTTCTATCCAAAGTCTTCAAAATATCGTGATCATTGGTTATTAACATCTAAGTGAGATAATTGTAAACCGTTTATAGTAAAAGCTTTATCCATCTAGTTCTCTTTACTTCATGAACATATTTTTATGTGGTCACTTCATTGATCTGATTTATACTCTTCTTGTAACTCCTTTTACCGTTTTTGACAGATTTCCTATGTTACAAAGGGTAGAAATAGAACTTTTTCACCGTCATAAACAGTTTTATATAATCTCATCTCTTCTGGAAAGTTCATCTGTTAAATATCTCCGTTCTTAGAGGATATATGACTTTTAAGTTTTCAGTAATCTGAAGCTCGAAAGTGAAAGATAATGTTGATGATTTGGTGTGAATCCGTACCACAAGGTTAGCAACTCAAGAAACTAACGTTATTCGCACAGATCCTAGAAGAACTGCCAAAAGATGGTTATTTTTCACTTACTGAATTGGTCAGTAATATGTAAATAGCTTTGTTGAGTATAATGTATAAGTATGCAGTACAGAAAATCCCAAGTCCATAGTCTAACGTTGCAATTTTACAACTAATATTATCGAAGAAGACCTATGACATATCAGAGTTTGGCATACTATAGTGCAATTCTTTCAGACATTTCCCTAACCATAAAAATGGAGGTATAAAGAATGTTAGAGACAATTGTTTTTCTTCATTGAAGAAGTATTGTTCGTATCTTGTAATACTAGAAGATTTGTCTGATAAGTTTTCTTGTTTTTTAATTTATATTCACACCTGCCATGATGTTTCTTTTTCTGTTTTATCGGTTGCATCAACAGCGATAAATGCAAAACATTCCAAACAAATTGAGATTTGTAGACCGTCATAAAAAATAAAAAGTTGGTGAATTAAGGAAGACCAAAGAAATTTAACAGACCACTATACACTACTATTGACTGAAATTGAATGCTACTACTAATACCTTTTGCTATCTGTTCCACAGATCTCATGAATACACAATAATATACGTACTAGAATTCGATGAAAATGTTCAGATATGATTGAGAAAAAAACCTATTTAAATTGCTCCTGATAGCTTTCCCGTTTGCTACCTAAACAATCTGTAGCCTAATATGAGTTAACCTACATGCTTTGTTATAAGGCTTATCAACCAGTTGTATGTATTAGTTTAGCATTAGATCTCTCACTCCTCTTATATCATATTTACACTGCCAATAGCAATTAAATTGTTAGTTTTTATGCTGTATATGTTTAACACTAATTCATTACTTTGTTCCTAACTAGGGTTTCGTAATGACTCATTCTATTGCTGGAGGGACGGGATCTGGAATGGGTTCATTTATTCTTGAACGTCTTAATTCACACTTCCCCAAAAAACTTATTCAAACTTATTCAGTATTTCCAAATTTAGAAGAAACTAGTGATGTTGTTGTTCAACCCTACAACAGCTTATTAACATTAAAGCGTCTAACTTTGAATGCTGATTGTGTGGTGAGTCCTTGTATTACACACATATAGTACTATGTAATGATTTTTGCATAATTAATATATATTTCATACTTTTCACCTACAGAAAACCTGGATATCATCACCTCGGGTACTCCAACGCACTCGTACACTTAATTAACCTAAGTAAAAAAAAAAAGATCATTGAACTAAAAACTATATGGGCGAAAAATAATACCTAAACTTCATCTGTATTTAAACTAATCATCACTAATCTGTTTATTTGTTTCTCTTTTATGTAGTACACCTTGTTTTGTTGCAATCATTCACAATGTATGCTTGTGTTCAACTACGATGCATTTTATAATTGTATCTCTTTCTGTAGATAATAACACGTTTGATATAGTAAGAATAGTAAATTTTCTCACATGAAATAATTCTTTGAAAATGACTTATTATAAGACAATGTATTATATTATCATATGATTGAAAATATTAGTTAATTGTATTCAAACAATTATACTCTCTCTCTCTCTCTCTTTCTATTCACACTTATGATGTTTCTGCTTTATCTAATGGTAAAAGTAATGATTACTATAACTTTCCACTTCAGTTTCCTCATATAATTTAATTTGAAAGTATTAAATTATTTAAACATGAATTTGAATTAAATAAAGTTAAGCATTTCTTTTAGCTATATAGTCACTAGTTATATGTACAATAAATTTATTTAATCATAAATATTTAACAGAAATATCTCTAATGAAAATTTATAATACTGTTCACTTATTGATAAACATATTATACCTTTTTAGATGTTACCAGTTTGTTAATGAGGGTAACAGTGTTGGTATTTTATTCAATGATCAATCACTAGTATGATGCAGATAAATTATTCTTTCATTACATAAGTTCCAATACAAATTAATAACTGTTGTGGATTATTCAAAAAGCATACATTGTTCAGATTAAGAATACAGTTCATTGTTGTGTATATGCACTGTCTCATTTCTTAATGGTGAAATGTTTCGACTATGCATACTGATAACCTTAAAGCTAATCATTCCCTGATCTATGAATATAGACTTGTACTGAACATCGTTTTCACTCTTGTTGTTGTATCTTTTGTTTAAGAAAAACAGCACATCAAAAAACTATCAATTATGTAATTGTTGAGCTTATAGTAAATTTTGTTTTCTTATTTCCTTCAAAAGAGTGGTAAGTCATTGACACTACTTATTATCCTGTAATCTCTGTCATCAATCTTTCCCAAACTTTCATGGTAAAAATTCATTGAACAATATGATTAATGACTAAAATATGTCAACATAATCACGCACGGAAAAAAAATCGATTTTTACTATTTATTTATTGTTGTATGTTAGTTAATGTAACCTGTGAACAATCATTCAGTTGGTTACTTTGATTTACTACTGATCATTTACACTGTATAGTGTTTGTTGATTAAAATCTAGTTAATCAACGGTATCAATAGTGTTCTGATTGTAATTATCACGTTTATTAGATCTATGATGATTCCAGTCAGTAAAATTTATCACATCTTTGTTTTTCCCTAGGTTGTTCTAGATAACACTGCTCTGCATCGAATAGCTACTGATCGTTTGCATATTGAGAATCCATCATTTACACAAATCAATCAGCTGGTAGGTATCATCAATACAAAAGTTCTTATCTTTATATGTTTGGATTTTTTGTACTTCTTAGATATGAGTAATGGAGTTGGCCCTTCTAAGGTTAATGGTCATGTCATAACCATTGCGGATTTCTTGGATGAATTCTAGGCTGTAATTAGACTTGATTTTATCGAACATTGTTACAATTTAACTCAGAGGACGTATAACATCTTGTTTATCATTTAATGCTATATCAACACTTATTTTCGCTGTAACGTCTTTACTTTTTTTTTGATGAATCAATGGGCTTTAGTATTTTCAAATTGCTTTTTAGCCGCTGTTTCAAAGAAGTATTTTGAAACAATTGTTTTTTTAGAGAATCGATTTAGAATCAAATCACTTTCTGGTTCAGTTATGTATATCTCCACTTGAAAGCTAATAGGATATAGCTACTTAGTTCGGCTAATTTAACGTGTACTACAAATGCAAGTAAAATTAAAGATGCACATTGGTGTCACCCAAAGTGGAATTTTATTATTAACGCATCTATAAATCATGGGTCGGTTAAAGAGGACAAAACCAAGCTTCTAGGAATAGAATGTTTCCCTCAAAGATTTTGAAATTCAGCTTTTCAAGATTTCTTCAGCAGTATGTTCCATAAATTCACTGTTCATAAAGAGGCTATTCCTTGTAACTGTAGATAATTTATCAACTTTTAGTTCTAGCTTCTTGTTGTTGTCAATAAAACTCATAGAATAACCATTTTTGATTATTACTTGACAGTTTATTTTTGTTTTGTCAATAAGTTATAAATGCGTCCCTTATCTTTCCTCTATGAATTAAGGTCTCCAAAGTAATGTCTGCAAGTACGGCCACACTTCGTTATCCAAGCTATATGAATAATGATTTGATTGGTTTAATAGCTCCACTGACGCCAACTCCACGATTACATTTCTTGATGACCGGTTATACTCCACTAACAACAGATACTGAAGTTGCAACGATCCGACGAACAACTGTATTCGATGTCATGAGACGTTTGCTACAGCCGAAAAATATGATGGTCTCCACTCCAACACAACGCGGTGTTAGTCATTGTTATGTTTCTATACTAAATATAATTCAAGGTAATTTTCTACTTGATTAATCCGTTTGTTACTTTGGTGACTTTAATAGAACAAATAAAAGAAATGTTTCCCTTGTTTTTTCTCACAAAGCATAAAGTTTTTTTTCTACCTATTTGTAACCTTCATTATAGTATCAGTGGTTAGTAATCTCCTAATATCGTATACTTGTTAACAATTGACTTTCCTTCAAAGGCTTATAAAATTCAATAGGCAGTAGAGAAAAGCATTAAATAATTTTATTATCACTATAAAAATTTTTATTACGCTATGGTAGCATAACTTCTTTGGTAGGCATCAAACCTGAAACAGCTCTCTAGCTCAAATAAATTACGATACATGAATCGGCAAATCCCTGTAAAAATCATGGGTGAGCTCACTGCCCAGGGATATGATAGTATGACGAAATAAATGCTTGGTTTTCAATGGCGTTTTTACATGAAATCAGTTCGTGTTAGAAAGAATCATCTTTAAACTGAACAAATCACTTAACTAGATTATGATAAAATCTTCATTCTGATTTGAAGTCTAATAAACATGGTTTTCTGAAGTTCCAGTTGTATTCCATAAGATTTGTAGGCTGTACATAAATAAAACCTCATTGTAATGTGAAATCCAATATGGAGTAGAGCGCAAAGGTAAAATACTTTAAAAACTACCCCAGAGTTAAACTGAACTATTATTTCTGTTATGTTGCTTTCGTCTTTATCTAATAAAACTTATGTACTAAATAGAATTCACGACCTCTCTTCTATGTAAAAATATTTTATTTAAGTTGCAATGATTACTATTTGATCTAATATTGTAATTACTTTCTGAAAATGTCTTCAAGTGTAAACTATTGATTAAAAAGCTATTGTTTCCAAGTAATTAACTAATTATATACCATTCGGTTCAGTTTGTCCCGCATGTTAAAATTAGACTGCTTGCTGTAAGCTTGTATAATGATAATTCCGCTAAAGATATTTGAAAATTTATTCTATATACTTCTCCGTGAGAGGTCTCCAGTATTTATTCTATTCGGTTCTAACTTCAGTTAACAAACACAACTAAGAATTAAGTTCTGTGAATATTGTCTGTGATTCAATAATCTATTATTACACCAAATAGAATCACTGATATCGTCACTCATCCTCTTCACTCATTTATCCAATTAACTAATTTTTCGCTCGACCAGTTATTTCTTTCTGTGAAACCGACTGGCAACTCATATCTAAGCAATAAAATACATTTTTAGCGTAATGTTCTTCACTTTTGTGTGTGATCTATCATATGAACGTCTCATATTATGAAATGAAGATCTGAAGTTTCAGTTGATAAGCCTTGTCCATTCACGTAGCTCTTATGCAACAATTTAAATGCTCTAAATTAATGCTTTTCCCTGTTTCACCTACTTTACACCCCTGTTAAAATAACTTATTAAGGTGAACCAAATTTTGACAAATGCTAAATAAATAGTTCTGCAACGTGTAGGTCCCCTCACACGTTTCCAACGTTCTTAGACGTGATAACGTGCTATACTACTTACAAAGTGTCAGTAGCCACGTTTGACTTTTTAGTTTTTATGTAAGCTTGTGCTACCTCCATCCTATTAGTGGTCATTCTCATTCGTATATATTACAAACCAGCTTCTGACTATTTGCACTTGTTTTTCCAGGAGAAGTCGATCCTACTGAAGTACATAAATCACTACAGAGGATTCGAGAGCGCCGTATGGCCCAGTTTATACCCTGGGGTCCAGCCAGCATTCAAGTCGCTCTATCTAGACGATCCCCATATGTTCAAACACCTCATCGTGTCAGTGGTCTTTTACTTGCAAATCATACAAGTATATCAACTGTAAGTGTTTCCTCGTATTTTTCTGTCACTTTGCAGCTTCATATATTCACGTGAAAAACTTAATTTGGTTAAGCCTTACTCATTAACTCTTTTGTTATTCTTCTTGATTTACAACAATACTCCTGATCATATAAAACTCATTAAAACTAGCTTAAAATGAAACACTGATCACAAACCTATCTTACTGAAAGTCATTTTCGTAGTAGTGATTATCTTACAGCTGGATTTCCGCAGTCCAGGTTTGAATTGCCAAGGAAAAATATCTGTGTATTCGTTTAGTTTTCATATGTTCCAAATATGGTGGTCATAAATCCTCACTTGAAATAATCCTATTTTGGAGCTTGAAAGAAACGAGCTTGATAATTGGTTATCAGTGATACAGAGTCAATTAGTAACGTAGTGCTTATTTCTCTGGTCCTTCAACCGTCCAATTGCAGGTTCACATTCTGTCCACTTTAATTTGACCCACTGAATAGGATAATTTGCTCTCAAACTCAATTACAAATTCTGTGCTTGTCAAGTTAGTTGCACCAGTCAAATATTTACTACTCATTCTCTGCTTTTATTGACAACCCCGACTACCTTGGCGTGGTGGTCGCGCTTGCCTATCGATATGACTCGACCGAGCTATATTGGCTGAAACATATGTTCCTTTAGGTTCTACCGTACCAGGCAGGTCGACCATAGAACGGTAAGATTAAAAGCAGCAACTCAAGGTCTGAGGACGAAGTCGTACTGCTGACTGTAGAGGGGTGTGACAGTAGTAAGTTGTTTCCCTCGGACAACCAGCATCTGCAACGATGCTGCCATCTCACAAGGAAGGAAGTGTTAGAAAAGGTCGATCCTAAAATGTCACCCCTCACCCACCGATTTCCGTTTCCGGAGGTAAGGCCATTTAAAAAGCGGAGCTGACACTTTAAAAACTTTTCATAAAAAGGCCGTGCGTGACCGGTCTCAAGCAGTCGTCACTTGGGCTATGCGGTCACGCTCCCAGGTCTCTAAGACCGACATTAATCTAACTTCCTTTCCATGTCCCTCAAGAAATATCTTCCCACAGTGTAGGCAGCTAGGAAGTGAAAACCGCTCCTATACCCGTAACAGCACACGAGATCTACTTGGTCACACTCAAATCCTTTCTACACCTCTTAATCACTTTATCTCCACGACTAACCCTTCTCATGTTCCTTTATCTCCTCGGGCCGCTGATGCAAACATTTCGAGTTCATGAAGCATTATTCCTAGTCTCCTGAAACTCCACGCTAAACTACATGTTGGAGCTGTTAATGTATGGACCTTGTATCAAATACGACAACAGGTTTCCTGAACTAGAACTCAGTAATCTCGTCCTATCGATGTATGATGCGTCTCTGAAGTACGCATATAGGATCTGAGTAGAATCATTCATTTGACTTCATTTTGTCAAGATAAAGAGCCAGCTCGATTTACGCTCCGTGTATTTTGAAGCCCTGATGCTGCCTCCCGTGGCCTCGCAGGTGTAGACATAGTATTAAGTCCTAGCGCCGAGCAAGGTCTCTTAGACTGGGTCCCAGTAGATAGTCGTTTATGCGCTGTCCAACTGAACGTGACTGTAAGAACTCGGAAAGATAGAGAATTTTGCCGTTGCTTCGTCGTTGTCTCTTCTCACCTTGAATAAAAGGCTGCCACTCGTCCTGCAGCACATGTTTGGACTCAGATCGTGCGAGTCGTACGAGCGCATATTTGCCTGTGGCTTACTGGACCTAAGAAAACTAGGAAACCCCTTAGAGTTGTACTTAACGATAGCAGAGCCAAGAGTATAGTTCAGGGAAGATTAGAAAAACAATTAGGCAGTGACGTAAGTAATGCTCACTCCAATACAGCTTGGAATGATATCCAAAAAGCTGTTGAAACAGCAATGATACATGTAATACGGCTTGGGAGAAGCAGTGGATCTCAGTAGCAACTACCGAAGTGATAGATGCTCGGAAACTCATCCCATCTGTCTCTAAACATGATAAAGGGCGGAATCAGCTTAAGTGCACTCTGATAAGAAGCCTACGCAATGATCGTGAACAGTAGTGGGTAGCGAAAGCTAGAGAGATGGAAAAGTTAGCGACAATAGGTAACAGTAGACAACTGTTCAGACTTATCAAGGAAATCGGTATTAGAAATCTGACTGTTAAAAAACTGTCTCGGAAGAAGTTGGGGCTATCATTCATTCCCAATCGGTAGAGCACTTTAAGGATCAGTTCATTTGGCCTTAAGCCACACTTCATTTACCAACGATCTCTAGTCAACCTGAATAGCAAGTTGATGTAAGTCCCCTAACTCTTGATGGAGGTGGAAAGGGTACAGGGGATGTGAAGCGAGGGGGTCAGCAGGCCCTGATAGATTGACCCTGGGACTTTTAAGGATGGTGGTCCGGTTTTAGTAGTGAGATTGATGAGACCATTAGTAGAATCTAGGAACTCGATGTCTTTAAAAAATGATAAAAGTCCTCTTGTAAAAATCACTGAGGAATTAGTTTGGTTAATAATATAGTTTAAGTTATATAATATGCAACCCAAAACCATTAGGTTTCGTTCCTAGTGTTTAACTTTTGGATGTCTATTCTCAATTATTTCACAATATTGCACAACCAACTTCCAATATGATTTATGGGTTTACTGCTCAATATCAGCTCTGGTTGAGGTCTACAAGCTACAACTTATATTCAGTTGATCTGTTGTCATTTTCTAATTAGTTAAATGAACGTTTCTGGTAACCAGCCTATTTGTCTTGTTTTTTTACCATCTACAGCTTTTCCTGCGTACTTTAGCTCAATATGATAAATTGCGTACTCGTGGTGCCTTTATTGAACAATTCCGTAAAGAAGAGGTATTTCGTGATGATCCAGAATTAAAAGAATTTTCTGACAGTAGACAAGTTGTTCATAATTTAATTGAAGAGCATAGTGCAGCAACTCGATCTGATTATGTTCATTGGGGTGCTCAGCGTGCCGCCGCAGTAGCTGCAACACAAGCAGCGGCTGCAGCAGCCGCCAATTCAAATCCTTAGATTTCTAATGAGGTGTTTTTCGTCTATCAATTTTTTTATTATTCACTATTCTGTTATAAACTACATTTTCTACTTTTCAAATGCTTCAAAAGTTTTTTTAGGACTGCCTTTTTACTAAAAGTTTTGTATTGTTATATTTTTTCATCCGTTTTTAATAAAAAAAGAACATTTCACTCTGAGCATTTCCAAACATATCAAATAAAATGTAACCGAATAACAACAACTTTTGATAGTTCCGTATGTTTAGATGTTGACGATCTCTAAAAAAATTTTTTAAGATTTAAAAATAGTTATTTATTGTTGTTTATGCAATAATTGTTACAACTCCATTGAATTTTCTTATCATTGAAAACCTCGTTACTTGACATTATAATGTTTAACTAGACTAAAAGCAATCTCAGTCGTTTAATAAAAGTAGAGATTTCGAACGTTCTTGTAGAAACTATTTATAGTTACTTCTGTATGCCTAGATCTTATCGATTAAACTGTACTACATTTAAGGAACATTGTCAGTTGGTTTATCAAACTTCTTTATTTGAAACCTTTGAATTAGTTACATTAACATAAAGTGAATTTTCAATATATGATAACTATTTGTATATCAAATAGAACGATTACGGGAAGATGAAGCTACAAACCGTTAAATTGTAAAAGAAAAAAAGAATCCAAATATTTTAATGGTTCAAACTGTCACTATCTTTAATTGTCTGCATGGAATGCTCAGATGTTCGAGAATCCGCGTTGATAATACTAACCGTATTTTATGATCCAAATATCGATTTGTAATAAATAATTTGTTATAAAAATATTTATGCTGACAATGTATCCATTAAAAAGATGTTATGTATTTGTACCGCTCGAAAGTCTAAATTAAGTCTCTGGAATATACCATAAACGTATAACTGATTTATTTTTTGTTTGTTGCTATTAACCGATACGATTTAGCGCATAAGAAATTGTCCTACTACATACACTTACTTGTAGAGCGAGACTGACAAAAAGCTTAAATCGGGCAAGTTTTTGTGTATCAGCAAGATGCCAAAGAACTAAAAATGATAGGATGGAATATTAAGTAGAGATGTAAATTCGCGAAATATAAAATATATGAGATAATTTTGAACCTCCAGATCCACGGATGAACAAAGTATGGACGCCTTTGCTCCATTGACCCGTGTTGCTCAACATCTCTAACCACTGGTTAGGTTAATCAGGAAATCTGCCCACCGACATAGATTTCAGCTATCAATGACTTCATAGCTTATGCTGCATCACTATCTTCCAATCTAGTGTCTATAATATTACCCTCTTTTTACTATTAAATATAGTCAAAACTAATAATAGTAACTCGAAATATAATTTATCGATTTGAAGGTTTAGTCGATTCTGCTTTATATGTATTACACGATGCTACTCACTAATATTCAGTAGTCTACATCATTGTTGGTCATTTCTGAACAAATTGCATTAATTGTATGTCGTTTTCAGGTAACTCAAATCAACGACATGAGATCCTAGTAGTTTAACTGTGCATAGTGGATTACAATGATGATCTTCAAACTTTCGTTATATATATGCACAGACAATCGAAAATTCACGTTGATAATACTAACCGTCTCTAAAATGTATTGTTATAATTGTATTCTCTGAACAGCTTAAATGACTATCTTCATTTCATATATTTTCATTGCATATATATTTACTCATAACATTCTCCATTATTTGCATGCTTTGTTGTCACTACAGTTTAATGGTCTGCCATCATTGGATTGATGCGTCTACTGGTTGTCACTTGGTTAAACGGACATTTTTCCATAAGTAATTCTTAAATAGACTCCTCTTGACGGGTGTAAACGATCTAAATACGTAATGAATTAAGGTTCATAAAATACATCGGTTATAACGTTATTGATAATAATGGAGTATTATAAAGAATATCTCTAGTTTTCTGTTTTTGGAGTTTTAAACATCACTCACATGTTCAGTTTGAATCCTCGAGTGGATTTTACAGGTTTATTATAATGCGTATTCTTCATGGTATTACTTCTCAATTTCCGACTTAAATAATTACCATAAGAAATGCTAAATGTTTTAGGATCATTAACAGGTAACATTTGCCTTCTCCCCCTGTAATCTCAATGAGCATATTCCTAAACTACCCATTCAATTCATAGTTTTTTCTCAGAGCAAAGTTTGAGTAATTTATTCGTGAAAGTTACTACTGAGTTATTTATTCGTTAACAGCATCAACCGCTAACGTGACCAAATTATGTAAAGAAGAATTATCAACCGGATATATTACCCAAAACTCTATTTTGTTCCCCAACGTTAACGGCAGTCTGTTTATTATGTGTCTTATTGAACTTAAAACTATGATGATGTTTATCCAATAACCGATTGACGTGCTGCTGGAATTATTTTTTTTCAGTTGAATGTAGTGTTTATGTCTCCATTAAAATAGATAATACATATTATCGAATAATCATACTCGTCAACATGATAGATGATTGACAGTTTAGTTTAGCTGTCAACACCAAACTTACAAAACAAATTAAGGTAGAAAAAGTGGATACAAAAGTACTTTTAATGCAAGATTTTATTAGGAAACATTGAAACAGATATTTAATCTCTAGTGAAAGGATATCAAATTACCTATAAATTTTATTGTTTAGTTAACTAGCAATTCGATAAAATAAATTTCTTTCGTAATCACCAATTCTATGACAATTAGGCTATTTTTATTCTAATAGGTATTATGTTACATTACTGTAATGCTTGAATTCAAACAACTCATGTTCATTTATCACTAGAGATATTGAGTTGTTATCATACTATTTATTCATATTATATAGTGTATTCAACTGTCAATTGTTAATACATGAAAGAAAGTGATTACTAAGGTCGGTAGAATAATTCAGGCAGTTCATTTGTTTGTTCTTACTGAAATATCCTGTTAAAATTTACCATTATCTTACTGTCAACTCCTCGATGTTACAAACAAAAGTCCATGTAGCAGAAACTAAACTTGATATTTTGTAAACGTTTTTTATGAATTGAAATCATTTGGCTGAAAAAGACATGTGAGCACTGAAATATTTGTTTCGCACTATTATGGTACTCTTCAACAGTATTTTAATCTTTGCTAAACATAAATATCTCTGACACAATAATATATAAAAGTCACTTCATTACTTTTTTATTGAAAATTTCATCATTCAAGTAATCACTAATCGAACACCTAATTTCTTTCATTATGAATAAGAATCATGCTCAAATTGAAAGTAAACAAAACTTCTCACACTCTGATTTCTATTAGTTAACATATAAAAAAAAATAAAAGCATACAACTTTGTGATTAGATAAAGGGACTCTCAAAGTTGAGTATCTATGATTAGCAGAGTTGATTATTTTAAATAGGAAAATCTTTTTCGCGTGGTACTTACACAAAAAAAACTAACTAAATGAATAAAAAATTAAGATTTGCAATAAAGATTGCCCACCTGGTGACTGACCTAGATTTAAAGTAACAGCAGCACTAGTAGGATCAACAGTACTATGTAACCAGACTGAAACAAACCAACAACAAACTCTTTATCAAATAAGCTTGCCTGAGGTCATAGGCATGACAAGAATATATGTGTGTTTGTATGTATGTATGTATATGTGTGTGCTTGTATGTGTGATCGATATTTCTAGTCAAACTCCAAACCACTAGAAAGTATTGGGCAAAAAAACAAATTGATGGAAGATACATAGATCCACAGTAGATAAACACGGATACTGACAAGTAAGAGAAAGTGATCAGCTGTATGTTTTTTTTCTTGCCTATTCACATTCAAGTTACCATCCCAACTAGGACTAGTTGTTTTTTTAATTATACTTATTACTACTATTACTGAGTGTCTCTCTCTCTCTTCAATTAGTTGAAATGCTAAAAAATATTCACATCTATGTATGTTTGAAGAAAAAAATAGTCTCTTTCTTCCCTCTTCTGTATTATTTCAAATCTCCACTTGTGTTTTTTTTTCATGTCGCGCGCGAGCAGATATTTTTTATGAGTAAATCATTTAAATAAAAAAGTTTTGTTTATAACTAGAACTTAATAATATCGAAAAAACTTATCGAAAATTAATTTGTTTCAATATGAACAAGATTTATACTGAGTAGAAATGCTTTTTTCCACAAATAATGAGTTCGTCGACAGACCTATCCATAATTCGAAGGTTGATCATCATATAGAGAGAAAAAAAACTTAGATGATCGAAATCTACAATCAAAACAGAGTGAGCAAAATGAGTGTAGTTCAAGGAATGTGTATTCAACAGAAAAGTATTGGAAAGCTTCACCACTAAGGAATGGATCGATAGTTGATTAGCTAGAGCTAACCGTTAAGTTGCTAATCTAAACCGTGTTTCATTTATTTCGGTTTTGGAAGCTAAACATTATTATTACGCTTTGTACAATGTTGTTACTTGAAAATGAGTAAAAGAACATCTAGTTGCTTAGTGATTTGAACAGATCGATAAAAATGAAAAAGAACTATGATAATTAGAATTTTTTTCACATATTCAATATGAAGTTAAGACGAACTGGAACATGATGTTTGAGATTGCTTAAGCTTTTCTGATTTCCATTTTAATGATAGCTCTGCTTACGTTCACTATTTTCTACCAAAACACCGAAAATATAATGACCTTTCAAATTCTATTAAAGGTACAGATATGAGAAAAAATGAGTCAAATCAAGACTTATCTTTTGGATCAAGTAAACGAATTGATTATTAATAATGAAACTCCATCGAACTGTTTGTGGTTTATTCAATTGTGTTACTAGATGTTGCATCAAAATAGAATGAAACAAATTTTTACAGCTTTTAATTGATCTGAAACTTTATGAAAGTAATGCAAACTGACTGTCTTTTCAAAACAAACAGCGTATATTGTCAGTTAATCACACATTTAGCTTGATAACTAGTAACGTAATCTAAAAATTGAAGTCAGCGAATAGATGTTTGAACTTGTAACCCAGTGATTAAGAGTCGAACAACTCGATCATTAAATGATCACTCCACCTCCCCAACTTTGAAAATATTTGATCACTACAACATCGTCGTAGTAAACATGTATTGTCATCATCATTTCTGAATTATTTATTCTCTTTAGTTTTGAACAATACATGTTTCATTATTTTATAATCCCTCTGAGTTTATACATGATTATATGCCCTTATAAAATATAGATTTAAAGTGTTTATTATTTTCAAGTGTTATTCAGATATAATGAAATACACTTGATTAGTATTGCTTTTACAAACGAACTATTTAGTTAAACCTTTTACTCATAGTTTAGAATAAGTTAGAGTGGTAGAAAAATTGATTAGTTTGATAACCCTTAGAACTCTATATTCAGAATGATAAAGAAGGATTATTGACTGAAATTACCTAGCAAGTAGTATTTCTCCAACTTTTTTCCACATCATCTTCATAATATGTAAAAATTGTCAACTGAGTACATCAAATATATATATATATATATATATATAATACTTTCCGATCTACAGAAAATATCATTATAACTATATATACAACTCGACAATATGTAACTACTGAATAAAGTTTCATATCAGCAATTGTAAAGAGTAAATGTAGAATGATAATCAGGCAACAGTAAATTGACAAATAAAATGATCAATCACATGAAGTCATCAATGGATAAAATTTGTCGAAATAGATAAAGAGATTAACTGACAGTCTAGATGATGTCGAACAGTCAATGAAATGAAATGTTATATTCTATAGTACTAATAAGAATGTTGTTCATTCTTCAACTCATCACAATGAAAAAACCATTAAATACTGTTTGAATTATTAATATCGATTCAAATGCTATCATGAATTAAC